TTTGTCTCCCAGGTCTGTCACTGCTGGTGTCCGCCCTTTTCCGCTGGCGATGCAACATTTCTATTCGTTTGTCTCCCAGGTCTGTCACTGGTGGTGTCCGCCCTTTTCTGCAGGCAATGCAGCATTCTATTCATTTGTTTCCCAGGTCTGTCACTGCTGGTGTCCGCCCTTTTCCGCTGGCCATGCAGCATTTCTATTCATTTGTCCCCCAGGCTTGTCACTGGTGGTGTCCGCCCTTTTCTGCTGTTTCTATTCATTTGTCTCCCAGGTCTGTCACTGCTGGTGTCCGCCCTTTTCCGTTGGCCATGTAGCATTTCTATTCATTTGTCTCCCAGGTCTGTCACTGCCAGTGTCCGCTCTTTTCCGCTGGCCATGCAGCATTTCGATTCATCTCCCAGGTCTGTCACTGCTGGTGTCCGCCCTTGTCCGTTGGTCATGCAGCATTTCTATTCATGTGTCTCCCAGGCCTGTCACTGGTGATGTCCGCTCTTTTCCGCTGGCCATGTAGCATTTCTATTCTTTTGTCTCCCAGGTCTGTCACTGGTGTGTCCTTGTCTATTGGCCATGAAGCATTTCTATTCATTTGTCTCCCAGGTCCATCACTGCTGGTGCCATGTAGCATTTCTATTCATTTGTTTTTCAGGTCTGTCACTGGTGGTGTCCGCCCTCCATGAAGCATTTCTATTCATTTGTCTCCCAGGTGTGTCACTGCTGGTGTCCGCCCTTTTCCGCAGGCAATCCAGCAGTTCTATTCATTTGTCTACCATCACTGCTGTGTCCGCCCTTTTCTGCGGCCATGCATTAGTCTCCCAGGTCTGTCACTGTTGGTGTCCGCCCTTTTCCGCTGGCGATGCAACATTTCTATTCATTGGTGCTGCCGCCCTTTTCCGCTGGCCATGTAGCATTTCTATTCATTTGTCTCCCATGCGACTTCTTTCTTTTTGTCTTTCAGGTTTTGGTGCCTGCACTGCTGTTTTCTGCCGCGTGACTGTCTCCGGGAGTGCATTTCTGCCACACTGTGTAACTCTCTCAGCTTTGTTTTCCTTTTCGGGCAAGGGTTGGATGAATGACCGGATTGGATTTCGGCGGCGTGGCAGCGATCTCTCTGTTCAGTTGGGACGGAGGGCATGCGTCAGGCACCAAAAATCAATTTCATGTCACATCCTTCGCTCCTCATGCTTCTATTTCTTGTCCTCACGTGGTCAGCTCCTTGCTGATTGAGCAGCATGACCAGCATCATGTTCGCACTTGAAGAATAATTCCCCAAAAGGTTTACTAGGGCTTCTCAATTCTTTCTTAAGATGTGTCCGCCCGCTCTGTACTGCTGTGTCCGTCTCTGCCTTGCAATCCTTTACGTTCGTCTCCCAGCTCTGGGCTGCTGTGGCCGCCTCTGCCTTGCAATCCTTTGTCTCCCAGCTCTGGACGTCGCAAGCTCTAGTTTCGATTTTGAAAAACACAAACTGTTTGGGGTCTACGGTGGTGTAACTTTTTAAGTAAATCTCAGATCATCGCACCTTTCCACGATGCAATCATGGCATCAAACGACTTAGAACTTAGAGCATGTAAGTGAAGTCTCCATGACAATGATTATAACTGGATTCTGAAATTTGAAATCATAAGATTGCACGACTTCAGTTAATGAAATCAACCTAAACGATTGAACTACAGTATACTTTATTTATATTTAAGACCCCGTAAATGGGTGTTTTATCAAAAAAGTCGTCGTATTGAACGTGGTGATGTACGTGTGATTTGGACGTGGTGCGGACGCGGACGCGGACGCGGACGCGGACGTGGTGGCGAACGTGGTGGCGAACGTGGTGGCGAACGTGGGGGCGAACGTGGGGGCGAACGTGGGGATAGTCATGGTAAGGTAGTGGGAACGGGGGCAACTCAAAGGCAGACTGTATGTTTGCAGGATTTGGATTGAATATATAGCACACAGAGTCGATGATGCGTGTTTTTGGTATCTGTGAATTTGTCAGCTTGTGTTATGCAACTTGCTGCGCTGCATTTGCAGTATGTTTGAGGTGCAAACTATCGCATGTCAGGACACGTTAGGGAGGCCTTGGCCCAGCATAGGTTGTCCAGCATACATAGGCAGGAACAGAAACCAAAGCAAAAAGCATGTGTTTCTTCTAGTAAAAACAACACATAAAGAATCCTGTGATTCTGGGATGCAATGATTCAGCCAACTTTCTACACCAACTTACTGTGACCACGGGGTCCTTTCATCTTTTCACTTATGTGCACCAAGCCATGATAGATGATAGAGATTTGGCAAACCTTGGCACATCTTCCAAGAAGACATTTGCAATTGCGTTGAGTCTTGTCTGCAACGGAACGTTGTATTGCCTCCAGCATTTCTTTTTGTGGGGGAGAAAAGCAGCAGCAGCATCGTCAATAGGCTGACTAGTGGCTATTGTTTGCTTGAATGGTACAGTGTGAACAATGGATGTGCAATGGTACAGTGTGCAGCATGCATTCTGCATTTATGTGATAGTATGATATGATATGAATATTAGAAGCGTGCCTCTGAGGAACTTGGCCGACAAGTATGTGTCTGAACACGCTGTGAGGGCAAGCGATCTTTGCCCTGGACAAGTCAGTGGGAAGGGTCAATACAAGAAATGGTTGCCAAGCGCGTTGTTGAGGGCGGCGTAGCCCGGTTGAATTGTTTTTTTTGCAAACAATCTAATCTAACTCGAACTTTAACAGGAAGCATTCTCGACCTGTGTTTTGAAGATGAACATGGATCTTTGTATTTATATTATGTAAAAATGCTTTTGACTTTATGACAACGGCAATGCAAACAATATGTATGAATCTTTCAACACCATGTGTAGGAAGCCACTATATCCGCGATAAACAAGCACACAGCAAACTAAAAAACATACAACCCACCCGACTAGAAGCATGAGGCATGCACTTGCTTATAGTGTTCTAGAGAGCTTTCGGGCTGTTCTGATGCTGTATTGAACATGACACAAGGACAGGTCTTGCTTTTTTGCCTGGTTTGGTACAATTTGAAGGTTTGGTTGGACATCGATGAGTGCCTTGAAGAGAAGTTCGAACCTGGCTTGCAGATCGTTGACTTCAATGTCACTCACCACCGTGGCATACTGGATGAAGGCCTCTCCTACCCATGTAAACCATGCTGCCTGGTTAAAGTGATTCCAATTGTGTATAGAAACATATCAAAGCATACGGCATATTGAAGCGCGTCTAATTGTATTTGTATTTGTAATTAATGTATCATAGAATCATGAATCATGATCTTTTTCTTGGGTTTGTATGCTACAATGATTCAGTATACAGTATGCTGCGTCTGTAATTGCAATAACTTGGTAGAGTAACCATTCATTGCTCTTTTTCGCAATGTTGTGTGACATTTAATGTGGGTAAGTTCATGCCTTTAGGATATTCATGAATCGCATACGCATATCAGTATCAGGTTTGTTTATTTATGTAGTTGGAGATGCCATGTGTGTAGGGTAGGGCACAGCGCAGTTATTCAAAGCCTCATCGCCCATCGCTATTGCCAAGGT